CCTTTTCCAATTCTGAGATTTATGAAAAAACTTCAATCTCAGAAACATATTTTTGAAAGAAATGATTTTTAAAATAATGTGAAAAATGTCCATTTTACTAAACCAACTTTTTAATTATTTTACATTTTTTAAAATAAAAAATTGAATGAAGGAACTTGTTTTTTGACAGTAAGACGCTTTTCAAAAATTTGGGCGTGCAAAGTTTGCAGCAATATTTGCCAAAACAGAATTAAGTCCTTGTTATGATTCTAATCACAGCAAAGATGAGTCACCCATGATTTGCTCTAAGGAACATTATCTTAGAGCCTGCTCTTGAAATTTGTCTAAAGCAATTAAATAGCGCAGATGCAAACAACTAGAGTCCATATGGTTTTTTTTCTCTTTCTAGCTTTAATAACCAGTGATATTTTGACTGTGCTTATATAATTTGCCTTAAATGTTGTGATTTAAAATTCTTGGAATTTCTCATTAATTGTTCAGATAATCCTGGTAACAGCTGCTAAGAAAAATAACTCAAAAAGTATTAATTGCCACCAGAGCGTGCAAGGTCAGGGAACATCTGGCACAAAGGATGTAACAAAATGCCCAGATTATCAAGGGCCTTCTTCCCATTTTCCTACTTCCCTTAAACTTGAATACATTTCCTTCCCCATCTTCAAAACAAAGCAAAACAAAACAAAAACACAGATTTCCAACTGTACATGTACTCCTTTTTATTTTAAGGAAGAACAACTTGAGACATTATAAATGTTTCCTACGCATGTGCCTGAAATAACTTGTTGAGATATTTAGCAACTGTTATTAATAAATCATTTAAGCAGAGCTAGAAAACACCCACTCAAAGGTGGAAGTGGAAATGCTGAAGAATACAAAAATGCATAACTGTAATCTTAACCACAGCTAAAAAAGCACAGACACTGTATTCTACTTTCACTGATAGCAAAATCCATTGAACAAACATTCTCTATTTTTTTATGGCTTTTATCCATTTCTAATTTTTTAAGAGCCCTGAAACATTTTAAAGACCTAATTCATATGTTGTGGTAGGCTGGTCTCATAAATGCTTTTATGTCGCAATAAATGTTTGGATTGCTGGACTTTTATTGCTACCAACCTTTCCCCTCCCCCCTTGTTTACTTTCATTAATCATTTCAGTGGGGATAATGCATAACAGTTTCTGGTGCAGGCATGGACAGATCTGGATCTATTAATAGATTTATTTAAATCAACCGGGATTTCTGATTCCCAATCACTGAACAATAGTTGTAATAAAATTCCTCTTCTTCCCAACTTAAATGACACTCGTGAAGTAAAAACCACTTGGAATAACTGGAAACTGCCTTACATACAGAAGGATTGGGAACTTCTTTCAGTTCTGGCATTTAAAACAAAGTTCTGATCTACAAATTCTTTAATTTTAAGTGCCTCCTTTTTTGAAACAGAGTCCAGATGGTAGATCTTGGGATTTTAATGAGAAGGAGGAGGGTAAGAAGAAATAATGAAAACATATTACAAATCTTGCTCAAGGCTTGAAGTTCGTAGGTCTGTAGAGACACATCAAGGAGTTAGATGCAGACATCACCACCATGATGCAGGCTCTCATATATACATTCCAATTTACTGCACTGCGCCAATGATTAGAATTATGACCTTTTCATAGTAATTTGCAATGAGTTTTAAATAGGAGAGCGGGAAAGTAAAACTACATAGAGATCAAGACATAATACAATAAAATGTTAGCAAAAACTATGCAAATGTACACAAGGAAATTCAATACACAATTGTTGGACTCTGTTTTATTAAGCAATTTGATTACAAAATAGCCTCAAGCCTTACCATACTTTTTATGCTAATGAATGTTTTAAAAAGAAGCTATTGTTTTAGACAACTGCTATTTAAACCCAAATGCTATTTTATTTTATTGTATGTTGCCTTGATTGCATAGACAGTAGAGAATAAGAGACCAGGACAAACATTGCACATACTGGTATTTAGAAAAAATCAGTACCAGTTTAAAATGCTTCAAAATAATGTGCCAAATTCAACTTAAGATTTGGGTAACATCATAGCTGCCCCACATCATTGCTGAATTCTGATGGTACAATTGCTTCCATTGCCTAAAAACCTTTTAATTTATGCCATGAATTTTATGGCAGTGATTCCTATCCAATCACCTGCAATTACACCGGTGGTGGGTTGCCCTCGGTTCGCACCGGTTCTATAGAACTGGTATTAAAATCGGTGGGAGGCTCCGCCCACCGACCCCAACATCCTCAAAATGCTTCTGCGCATGCGCAGAAGAGCGCACATGCGTTTGCTTCACTCGCACGCGCGCAAGGTCCCACTGCAAACCAGTAGTAAAGGTAAGTAGAACCCACCCATGAATTACACTGACCATCACCCTGATGAAATTGCACCTCAGTTTCCTAAACAACAACCAAATGAAATTAACAAAAATCTGATCAATTTCATTGTAACTACACACTATCTGTACATGAGCAACCAAATTATTTTACTGCTTAGAGGCTGAGGGACGGAAACCCAAATCACCAGAAACAACATATTAGAAAACAGAGAAGAAAAATAAAACCGGTATTATCTTTTCACACAAAATCAAACATAATCACTTTAAATATATTTTATGTGCAGAGGATGGGAGGACCATGCTACCAACATTCTGCAAGTTCCAAGATTTAATATTCATAATCTCTAGACTACAATCTTGCATCCCTGAAAGTAGACAATACCCAGACAGATTATGTAGTCCAGTTTAGTACCCTGAAGCTTTGAATGTTTACTTTCTAATGCAGGGATAGAAAACTTCAGCACTGTTGTTGAATCTCCTTTGCCATTTCATATGCTAGGCTGCTGAAGACCAGTAGATGGAATAGCTTTATCAGAATACTACCAACATAGAAGGATACTACTAAATTTGTCAAGCAGTTATTAAAGTTATTAAAACCTTCCTACAATACAGTATAATATATGGAATTTTTTGCTTTCATAATTTTCATATATTTTTGCCTCTACTGTGTATTCTGTGAAGATCGTGAATTAGCAAACAAATAAAATTGCTCTGGAGGACTTGGTGAAACAATTACAGGTAGTCCTCAACTTACAAAAGTTCATTTAGTGACTGTTCAAAGTTACAACAGTCCTGAAAAAAGTGACTTATGGCCATTTTTCACACTTATGACCATTGCAGCATCCCCATGGTCACGTGATTTGCATTTGGATGCTTGACAACTGGTTCATATTTATGACGGTTGCAGTGTGCTGGGGTCATATGATGACCTTTTGTGATCTTCTGACAAGCAAAGTCAATGGGAAAGCCAGATTCACTTAACAGTGGTGTTACTAATTTAACAAGTGCAGTGATTCACTTAACAACAGTGGCAAGAAAGGTTGTAAAATGGTCCAAAACTCACTTAACAAATGTCTCATTTAGCAACATAAATTTTGGGCTCAATTGTGGTCGTAAATCGAGGGATACCTTTCAAAAATTCTTCCTTGCTGTCCATTTTCTTGCTATTTTAAATGTTCTCCAGAAATAGACCAAAATAGGAGTAAAACAAACAATTTCCACTCCGGCTGCTCATTTTTTGAGCAGTTTCATGATTATTCCTCATATAGCTTGTTGAAGACAATGCAATATTGTAAGCTGTTATCAATGTAAAAACCCAAATCTAGGCAACTGATGTAAGATTGCAAGTCTTTAAAAGCTCAAAGAAAGCTATATTCTGTAGGCTTGTGTATTGGTTGATTGATTGTGATCTGATTGGAAATACTTATGCTTAAATATTATGTGCCAAATCAGGATACTGTTTTTCCATATTATTACAATATATTTAACAGCCCATCAATACAACTAAATGCTATTTTCGCATTAAAAATAATCAAAATAAAGGCCTTTTGTTGACAACAGTGGTTCTTTATGTTGATATTTCAGTAAGGGTAAGGGTGAGATAGAAAGGCTGCTAAACTGACAAGTTTCTTTTTCTTAATACTGTAGCTTTCTAGTGCAATGTAGATTTATCCTATGAGTGGTGGGTACAACCACTCAATTATCAATTATCCTTGTGGCTTTGAATGACTATTTATACTTTGATTATTTAAATACATTTTTTAAATCAAAAGTCTTTTGATTTAGATAGACTTTTTAATTGTTGAACTTAATAATAATCAAAGACTGCATCTTTGATATCTGATGGACATCTCTGCTCAGCAGCAAACTAACATGGTGACCTTAATCTCATCTTTACAAATTGTCATTTACAACGGGTACAATATATACCCATGGTAGCAAGCATGAGTATTCAATAATAGATGTAAATTCCTTGGAGCACTGTCTTGAGAAAACATCACAAAGCCATTCTTTGCTGTAATGAAATATTGTCTGACTTAACAAAACATTGTTTTGACATGGTTTAACTATGATTAGTTGATTTAATAATAATTAGTTGAGTCCACATAAAACATTAATTCAAAACCATCCAAACTGTTTCATAGTTGAGGATAATGTAGAAATCCAGTCAATAATTTGTTCCTAAAAAAACTGTTTGCCATCTGCTTGGATTCTGTTCTGCGGACCCCAAAGCCCTGATCCACAGCCTGTTTAGCACTGAATCAGAAATTCTATTAATTTGATTATCAAAAATATTTTTCACTAGAATCCTAGAAAGAAACTTTCACTCTAGAAAACATGCTGCAGTTGCTTCACATCTTCTGTCATTCATGGCTTTAACACCCAATCAGAATTCACTACTTTATGACTGTCTTTGACATAATGGTCAGAAACCACAGCTATTATGTGGCATTCCTAACAGGCTCTGGAACAACAATGGAACTGAGCTGCAGAGTCTGTTATGTCACCCTTTCATCTTTCAAGCAGAACCTTCTTTTTGAGCTATGAAAAATTCTAAATGGCCTAGGCTCACTGTAGCTAACAGAGTCTCCCTTCTTATTATAGCTTATTGCAGTTTTTAAAGCAATCAAACTCTCTATATTGGTTTCTTCCACTACTGGCACTCACTGGATGTTCTGTAGAATACTAGTCTTCAATTTTCAGGATTGCCAGCCAGTTGTTAACTCTGTTAGCTAAAAAATTTTGGGACTGAAACCTAATAATCTGTATTGCACCAAGCTGGGAAAAAAACTGCTCTGTAATATGACCAATCGAAGAAGTAATATGGGCCAACATCTTAGTACTGTAGGTGCTTTTTGAGTGTGGACAAGCTCCTCTTGCTAAATTTATTCCATAAGTCCTTTAAAACATTTTTGAATAGGATTCTTCTGCTTTATGATAAGCCAATATCAACTGGTTTTTCTTGTCACCATAAATGTAGCATACTGTGACATTTTACAGATCCTTTAAACTGCCTTTCAGTGATAAAAGGTAAGATAACAGATCTAGAAAGTTAATTAAACATATAACGGTGACAATATGTAAGATACTGAATATATATTACTAAATAGCATTTCTATTTTCCTTGAAATTTGAAGGTAAGAATAGTATAAATTTAAATAAAGCAATCTGAAACTACTATTAGGTTTATACAAAGAATGCTCAAGTCTTTTGCTGTTGCTTAGTAATTAGAAGAGTGACGCACTAAGGGATCCTGAAAAAATATTTTATTCCAAATAAATTTTTAGAAAGTTCCAACGGACTCCACTGATCAAGCCACCATATGTGTTACCTATTAGGTGTTTATCACCAAGATAGTTAAGTACATGTGCTTTTCAATGCACTGTTTACTTCACAATGATAAAATTTTCTGGATAGTAAAAGCAAACATTTCTAGCATTAGTTGCAGATAATTATGGTAATTTTGCTCAAAGGGAAATGAGCAAGAAAATTTAATTTAGTTTAAATTTAAAAGACCTATGAACTCCAAACGATACATGCTTTTTCAGGACAGAACTTTTGTCACATGATGATGTCTCCTTGAATGGTGACGAAACGTTTGCAACCAAATTGCCAAGCTCGGAGCATAAGCCAACAGCCTAACTTTTGTCACCCTCTTACTCAACCTTCACTAAAAATGTGTTTTGGACTACAGATCTTATAATTTGGCATAGTTTTGCCAACTGGGAATTATGGAAGTCAGGGCCATAAGTAGAATTCTCTGGGCCCAAAGCAAGTATCTCAGATGCAGCTCTCTAACTGTGAAAATTCAGGTGCCAAACCCCTCAGGCTGCTACAACTGAGAGCAGGGCAGTCCAAACAGGTTGCAGCAGCTGAAGGTAAATGAGCTAGAGAATGAGGAGACAAGGTTCAACATATATTGGTTACAAACTGATCAATCATCAGGAGATAACAGCTAGAAAAACTGGTTTTATACCTCTTTGCTGTCATCTATTGGTGGTTTAGATTTTGCAGGTATGCTTACTCTAGCCCTAGCTCCTTTGTAAGAAAGGAAGAGAAAGAGAGTTCTGAGGAGAACAGAGAAGCAAGTAGCAATTGCTAAGTGAGTTGCCAGAGCTTGCAAGGACTTGCTTCTGGTGTAGGAGTCTATTGCTAAGGCAGATTTGGAAGCAATAAGAGACAAAGAAGGAAGCAGCACTGGTAGCATTTTCCTCATTCTTTCTTTCATGCTGCTCTTCTGCCACAGTTCTACTTGGGCAGTGTTTCTCAACCTTGGCCGCTGGACGATGTGTCTGGCTCTGCTGGCTGGGGAATTTTGGGAGTTGAAATCCACACATCGTCCAGCGGCCAAGGTTGAGAAACACTGCTCTTGGGGCACCTTACTTGGGCTACCAAATCTGGATTGCAACATCTGGATAGCCACAAGTTATGCCAGAAAAGAGATAAAAGAATTCTAATTTATTGTGGCCATCTAGAACTCATCAAGATTTTTATAGCTAAGAAGTGGGCAATAAGAAGGCCCCAGGGGAGCATCTATGCCTGCAGGCCACAAACTGTCTACCTTTCCTACATTTTCATAATGTGATTATAGACCCAATACTACTGGAGGAGGCCAGCTGAGGAAATTTGCTTCCCAGCAACCACTTAAACAAAAACAAGCTGGTGATATTTATCAGGAGGAGGAGGAAGAGGTGTGGGCATGGCACAAAGGAAGAGAAATAAAATGGAGAAGCAGTAAAATCCATTTAGAACTCAAGACTTTGCTGAACTGCGTTAAATCAAGGAGACAATGCAGTTATTTTTGATTTTATGATGAAGATATAAAAAGATATTTCCTGCACATTTGCAGGATGCTTGTCCTAATCATCGAATGGCATAAAACACTAGCTAGGTGCAGCTTCTACAGACAATAAAACAAGTGGATGGCAGCTGTGCAGCTCGGTTTGGCACAAGACAGTGAAAGTCCTTATTGCCTCTTAGAAAAGGATTATTATAGAAAGCTGAACACCATGAAATTTAAAGGACTGAAAAATGAAAACAGGAGCATAGGCAGCGCAGGGCACATTGGATAAAGAATGGCTCAATACCTGCATTGCAATGGATATAGCAGATGCACAAACAGAGCTAGGGAAAGGAGACAGGCTCGGCAAGTCAATTGTTATACAGCTACCAAGAAAAAGAAATATTTCCATTGATCTTTATATCAATTGCTATCATTTGACTTCACTTTCTGACACATTCTGAGATCTTATGGACTTTTATTGTCTGTGATTTAGGACAGTTCTGTTCAATTTGCACAAGCATTGAGAGAGAACAGGCTTATAATTAATTGTGATCTACTCTGGAGATACTAAACATCCATGCTCAAGTGACCATCTCAGATTTCCATAATCAGAATAAATTCTATCGGAGCAGTAACAAGCTTTTCAGCCTATATACAGCAACACTAAGGTTTACCCTATTTAAGGATGCTGTGTTTGGAATCTCTTTGCTCTTAAGTTTCCTTAGATTCTTAGAAAAGACAGAATTTACACACGCACACACGCGCGCACACACACACACACACACACACACACTCATGAAGTTCAAGTTAGTATTCAATTCATACAAATATATGGCTGCAGTTGAAGGTTTTGATACAACTGCAATGCTAAGAGGAAAAGAGCCAGTAACTCAAGGCTTCTGGTTTTAGTTTTCAAAGAATATTGTGTACATATCAAGACACAGCTGGACAAGAAAACCAATGAGATTTATTGTTTTTGCCTTTGGCTGGTAGCCTATGGGTTCCTGAATGTTTCCATCTTATCTCCTTGGCTCATCAACATCTATAGCCGTGATGGCGAACCTATGGCGCCGTTACCCCAGGTCAGATCTCCATAGTGTTTCTTTCATGAGCTTCCGTTTCCCTGCAAACAATGAAACAGAAGCTCACGAAAGAAAAAGATCTTACCTTTTGCCATTCTGCTGGTGTTGGGGTGCCCCACCTCCTGGCAGCCAGCTGGTCTTCAGGTCTCTGCTGCACATGCACGCATGTCCGCATGCATGTGCACGTTCGTACATGCGCATGTTTGCGCATGGCACACCTTTTAGTTTGGGCATGCACATGTGCGCAGTTTGGGTAGTCAGTGCCTAAAAGGTTTGCCATCACCTATCTATAGGAATCTGATACATGAAGTCATCCAAAAATGTGGGGATCAATATGCAGTTAATCTCTCTTCTTTCTAATCTGATACTAAGGTTAGGTATGAAGAATTAGAAAGGACATGATAAACTACAACAAAATCAAAATAGAACAGAAATAGCCAGCTAAGCAGTATGACTGGGCTTTGGGTGCTATCTATCAGGGTGAGGTGCCTCCTAAATGAACATTGATGTTCATTCATATCAGTGGTGATGAACCTTTTTCCATTGGGACTTTCATGATCAGTCTATCTACCTCCAGATTAGATAACTGTGGTATGCTGCTTATGAAACTTGCTTGGAAACTACAACCTGTAAAATTTTATTGAGAGGTATCTCAACCATTGTATCTTGTTTTAATGTTGTAAATTGACTTGAATTTAGTTAGAAAGAAGCAGGATATACATTTAACATAGATAAATTATTTTACCAATAAGGGCACTATATATTATGGGCAGGAATGTGCTCTGGAATCCAAGCAAGTGTTACATTATTGTTTTGGAAAGGAATTTATATTACAGTGACATGTTGGGGGAAATAAAGGAAAAAAATACAACAGTTTTAAAGCAAAAATACATTTTTATTAAAATATCATTTTCATTTAATATATAATTCAGTTAAATTATCTATTCACCTACTGGAACAGAAAAATCTACACTCAAAAAGTTTACTGTTTGGATTTCCACTGACAGCTCAATTACCATGACCAAGATTAAAAGATCTTTATGCATGAGAAATTCAAAGATACTAAACAAACCCAATTGCTTATTTTATTTATTTTTCAGTGCTGCGAAGCCTACAGTAGAGATCTGTGGCTTTTCTAGCTGGAGGCCAAGCAAACAATTCCATCCACTCTGCCCGTCAGACTGAATTTATAAGACCTGCATCTGTGCCTGCAGTTCTGTTTCATAAGCACAACCAGAGGAGGTACAAGGAGAAAGGCAACATTCCTGCTAAGGCACTGGTGGTTTTTGAATATTGAATAAAATTCATATTCAATCTGGTTTCAACCTACTTCTTATTAATGAAAATAACAAGAAATTTGGAGTTACAATCCTGATCAAGCAACTTGGTTCTCTTTCTCCTTGTACTATGAGTTTGGAATCTATATTTCTTAGGAGTCAATTCCTTCATTATTATTAACTCTCAGTGAACATTTTTAATTTAAAAACATATAGCATTAAAAAAAGACTGCAATATAATTGAGGAATAAATTTCAATCAACTTTACAGATCCATCCAACTCTACAGTACCTTTTAAGACTGTGCTCTTTGAGGACACGGCCCATTTTGGTTTGAGATATACTTATCCCATGGATGCTTTCTCAAATCAGAAAACTGGCAAAAATAAATTGCACACATGCCCTGGGCTTATCAAGAGGCAACTGCTGTTTGTGAACCAAATAATCTGCTTAGCTTGCAGTGTTTTTGCACTCCACTCCACACACACTTTCTAAAAGTACAGTATGATGCAGGTCTTTCAAAAGGACAGGAAAGAAGGGAAAAATGCTTGTCACTCTCCACTGGAGGGGTGAGAAATCCTTAACTGTTATATTTTATCTATTTATGTCAGATGAATGAATACCCTAAGGTTGTGGGAATTTGAGAAGCATTTTCTTGCTTTATTTCACCTACATACTATAGAATAAAGTTCTGTAATAGCCACAGTTCATATTGTTATTCTTTTTTATCCTTCTTACAAAATTCAGGAGGGAAGATATGGATAGAAAAATTTGATCCATTGAAAAGAATCTTTTTGTTTCTGTCACATGTGCTGAAAATTCTGAAAAACAACAACAGCCTTGTTGTTGTCTTGATTCCCTTTCCAAGTTCCAAGAGACAAATTCTATGGAACTCAAGTGCCACAACCGATTCTGGCAAAAATAAGAGACGGAAGAGTATCAGCTTTTGTCTTTGATCAACTAAGAGATCATCAGGGTCATGGAGCTGAATCATAAAGCAGAAACGTCTAGGTAGCCATGCAGTCCCCAAGAGCCTTGGATATGGTCTGAGAACTTCAAATGTTTTTGCTGAATTGTGATTTTAGCCTGACAGCAGAAGAAGGAAGATATATGGAGGATAATAATATAAACCGTATTTAGCTAATTTAATTGTACTTTAAATTAAAATTAAATATATTGATTTTTTACTGGTGCCACCTACTTTTGTAGTTTGTTACAGAAATACTGGCCCATGAACAGAAGAAGATTACAGATGGTTGTCATCGGTCATAATTTACAATCAAAATATTTTTGTTCATACAACTCATAAAAAAACCCAAAACTGAATAGAGGGTAGTTATTTATTTCATTAAATTTAGACATTGCATGATTTGTTAAAGTGCTTCAAGTTCCTTACCTGCAGCCTGTAAAGAGAAAGAGGGCAGCTATAGCATTGATTAGTGATCAGTTTTCATCAAGGTTTTCTACACAAACTTATACTAAATAGCCTTAGTTCCCATTCTTGACTCTTTGTGCAAGGCTTTGCAACCAAATGAGCAAGTTTTGGGACAATTGCTTTCGAAGTGAGCCATGACAGCAAAAAAATATTTAGTATTTAGGCCATTTTTCAAATGTTCATAAAAGCATAATTAATTCCTATTAGTTGTGCACCAAATTAGGCAACTTTCAGCTACAAATAGAAACTAGCAATTGCTATAAATGTTGTATTAGTAGGCATTTTTTCTCTTTCTGTTTATAATCCATTTAAATATGACCAATGGCAAACACCAAAAGCATGGAATCAGGAAACAGAACATTTTACAACTCAGTCTGGAATGTGAATTGAAACAACAGCCTAGTTATTAAATTTTCTTGCGGAGTTCTTAAAAGTCCATTCTTTTCTAATATATGTTTAAACTCATACCTCCAACCCTTTATAGAAAAACACTAAGCAAGGTCATTCCTCAGCATGGAGCTGGATAAAAAGAAAATAGAAGGGAGGAAAATTTAAATAAATGAATTGTATCCAAAGTGGTGGAGCTGAGTGTCTGTGGTGGGTGGGACAGAGCAAACTTCATCTAAGCTTCTGTGGATGAATACAGATGCCAGAAGTTTCCAGTCACTGCCTTAGTTTTCAGAACAGTTTCTGACTAAAACAGACTCTCAGATAGAACAGTTTAGTTTGTCCTAATTTAATCACAATTGTTTATGTATTTCCATTTGAGCTCACAAAAATGCAGCCACATAAATGTTTACAAAACTACTGTATTTTTGGAGTATAAGACATACTCCCCCCCCAAAGAGGTGAAAATTTGGGTGTGTCTTATACACCGAATGTAGCCTCGCCCATCCACCGGCCCCCACCCTTTGGACTCTGCCTTCCAGCAATTCAGGCTGCAGGGATTGCCATAGCCTATTGCCGCCTCCCCACACCCCATTTTTCATGCCCCATTTTCAGCCTCCGTGCACCCCATTTTCCGCCTGTTCTGGGTGGACGCGTGAAGGCGGCAATAGGCAATGGCAATCCCTGAACCTTGAAACAGCTGACGGTCAGGAGGCCAATCCAACCGACAATCGCTGCTTGTACTAATCAGGCTGTGTTGAAACTGAAACTGAAAGGGACTGTTTGCTGTTTGCTGCAAGGAGGCAAATTGCTGGGAGGCAGAGACAGATTTTTTTCTTGTTTTCCTCCCCAAAAAAGGTAGGAGCATTTTATACTCTGAAAAATACGGTATATATGGTTCTGATCAATGACCACAATAAATATATTTGCAGATAAGACAAATAACTGCTTTTCTATAGAAGTGTAATGATTAGTGACTGGGGACTAAATTCACACTTTCTCTGCATTATCCCCAAATTACAAGATTTGTTGAATAGACTATTTTATTATATATTCATGAGGTAGATTAAGAAAGCAGCAAAGACAATTCTACCCTACTGATACGAAGTCCAGCAGCTTTTTGAAACTCATTCTATGTTGTTTAATATAACAAAAGATTTATCAAAATTACTTCAAAACCAGCTATTGCGTAAATTATTTAATTTAAATTACAAGAGTACATCTTGATTTGGACATTATGAAAAATGAGCATGCCATCTTCAAACAAATTTATTGCAGGATTTATCTTTTGACCTTCAGACTGGAAATATTCATTTTCTTTTTAATACTCTATGTTATACAATGAAAAAACAAAATAAAATAAAATGGGAAAAAGCAGCCATCCTTGCTTGGATGCCTTATTTGTTTGGGGAAAAAGTATCAGATCAAATCATATTACTGCTTATGCTAATGAATATAAAGAAAATTTGTGCTTTCACATCAGTTTTAACTCCTGGCAACTAGATTGCATTTTCCTGGCAACATTTTTGGAAGTGGCTTGTCTCCTTTCTGCAACTGACAAAAGGCCCAAGGTTACCCAGATGCCTTCACACTTAAAGCAGGGCTAAAACTGAAATGTCTACTGCTTTCTAACCTGGTGCCTTGACCACTACTCCAAACTGGGTCACTAGTGAAGAAATGAATGCATAATCAAGCTGAATTTATAATAAAAAGATAAATAAATCTACATTTCACTTTTTAAATACAGGTATTCCTTGATTTACAACGATTCATTTAGTGACCATTCAAACTTACAATGGCACTGAAAAAAGTGACTTACAACTGTTTTTCACACTTATGATCGTTGCAGCATCCCCATGGGCACATGATCAAAATTCAGGTACTTGGCAGCTGAGTCATATTTATGACAGTTGCAGTGTCCAGGGTCCTATGATCCCCTTTCATAACGTTCTGACAAGTAAAGTCAATGGGGAAGCCAGATTCATTTAACAACCATGTTACCAATTTAACAATTGTAATGATTCACTTAACAACTATGGCAAGAAAGGTCATAAAATGGGACAAAATTCACTTAACAAATGTCTCACATACCAACAGAAATTTTGGGCTCAATTGTGGTCGTAACTCGAGACTACCTGTACTTTAAAACATTTAAAGACAACCAAATAAGTAGATTTTAGGTACATTTTGCATAACTTACAGTGTTTAGTAGTCTTTCATTTTATTGAATGATGCTTTTTTTTTTAGGAACAAACTAAGATCAATGAAGAGATAAATAATTACTTTGAAATGTATTTGACCTACTAGTCAATAATGCTCTGAATATTTTTCTTAAAGATTTGGTTCTTACTTATAGAAACATAAGGATGTGGCTTAATCTTTATTTTCTTTACAGGAATGAAGCAGATTCAGGGCTCATGCCTTTCCCCTTTCCTCTGCAGATTTGGCAGCCCCCCAAAAATATGCTCTTAGGAGCCTAGGAATGGTTTGAGAATGATGTGGAATTTGCAGAGGACTGCAAATAGAGAGAGAGTTATTAGAAAACATTTTCCACCACTTATGAGAATTGAAAAGCAATTTAAAATTAAGCCTTAGTATTTAGAATAATATGTTGTCTATTAAGAGAAAAGTTGGATTTTCCTATGTATCCTGAAGAGCAATTTGATCAGTTGGCTACTGTAGGATTTTTATTCTAAGATTATTGTTCTTTATAGGGGTGGGATGTTGGGATATTATTGTAAGTAAAATTTGATTTAATTTACTTACGTCCCCTTTAATTGGGATGAAAAACACGGAACAAAACAATCTAATGAACAAAGTGAGCTACATTGTGTGCTTAGTCAGTCTAGATCAGGGGTGTCAAACTCGATTTCATTGAAGGTCACATCAGGGTTGTGTTTGACGTCGTGGGCTGGGATGGGCGTATTCAGGGTGGGCGTGGCCAGCTTGACGTCACTCATGTCGGGGCCACTTGTGGTGGCCCAAGCGCTCTGCCAGCAAAAACGGGCCCCCAATTTCTGTTTTCGGCCGCAACAGTCTCCTGCAGCCCTCTGCCTGTGAAAACAGAGCTTGGGTGGCCCGTGAGTGTCCCCCCTGAGTCCTGTTTTTGGCCGTGACAGCCTCCTGCAGCCTCTGCCAGCGAAAACGGAACTCTGTGCAGCCCTCCTGTGCTCTGTTTTCACTGGTAGAGGCCCCGCAGGCCGGTCCTTCAATGTTTCCA